CAGACTAGCATGCTTTTTTTCTATCAAACAAATGTCCCACAAACCGGTATTATAACACATCAGTGTATTTTAGACCCTTAATTAAATGCATATGCTTTCTTGGATGTTTTAACCAGTGACTCAGAATATTGATAGGTTTCAGCAACAAAAATGATAAATACTTCGTTTAGTGTTCTCACAACGTATACACAGAGGCAAATTCCTTAAATAATACTAATAAAAATAAGAATATGTTGGGGCTCTGATGATAAAGCATTGGTACAGGTACAGTAAATTGTGGCTGATAGCTCTCCCTATAACTGCTGGGAATTTGTCTTGATAGTTTTGATCATTTTTGTTTTGTTTAAAACTGTCTAGAGTGTATGAGCTGCTTTAATTAAATAAAACCATATTTGGGCACCTGGGTGGCTCAGTTCATTAAGCATCTGACTCTTGATTTCAGCTCAGATCACGATCTTGCCGTTTGTAAGACTGAGCCCTGTGTCAGGCTCTGCGATGACCGTTTGGAGCCTGCTTGGGATTCTCTCTCTCTCTCTCTCTCTCTCGCTCTCGCTCTCGCTCTCACTCTCTCACTCTCACTCTCGCTCTCTTCTGCTCTCTCCCCCGCTCTCTGCCCTTCCTCTGCTTGCTTTCTCTCTATTTGAAAATAAAATAAATAGCATTTAAAAACCCCATATGATACCTATTATTTAGCATCTACTGCTGCCCAACAGAAATAGTGCCCCCCCCCATTACTCTCCAGGATTAGCTTTTAAATTAGGCAGAGTCACCTTCCAGTCTTATAAGTATCAGTTTGTAAACCACAGAGCTGTATTACTTTTTCCTCATGTGGGTACATATAATATCCTCAAATATCAAAATAAATTACTACTTTAAAACATATAGTGTTTTTAATGACTTTTAGAATAAATGGAATAGAGTTGAATTTTCCCACCTAATGATCTAAATTTTTCATATCATTTTTAAAGTTTTATAGAAATTGGAGTCACTTGTATGCAGCTTCACTTTCAAGAATGGGAGATTATCATTCAGTCCATAATTACTCAGAAAGCACCTACAGTGCATATAGCATTTATTTGTATGTTACGGATTTATTTCAGTCACATACTGGAACATTGGATAAAATTGCCTATACAATTTTTGCTGTTCACTTTGCACTTCATTTTCTGAACAATGGAAATTCTTTTTTCTTTTAATTTTTTAATGTTTCATTTATTTCTGAGAGAGAGAGAGAGAGAGAGAGACAGTATGAGCAGGGGAGGGTCAGAGAGAGTGGGAGATACAGAATCTGAAGCAGACTCCAGGCTCTGAGCTAGCTGTCAGCACAGAGCCCAATGTGGGGCTCAACCCCACAGACCATGAGATCATGACCCGAGCCAAAGTCGGACACTTAACTGACTGAGCCACCCAGGCACCCCTGAACAATGTAAATTCTAAGTTATGTAAAGTCTGTGGTCAAGCTGTAACACCCCTCTTTTCATAGAATGCATATTTGATTTTAGAAAAGGAAATCACCAAAAATAATTGAAAGTGTATGATTCTGGTATAATTTTAGTGAGTTCGTCTGTTCCCTCGGGGCCCCTCTGTCCTTCATTGAACTCAGTTTAATTCCTATATTCAAACCTCACTGTATAAGAGTCAGGACATTTGGGCTTTTTTTTTTTTTAATGCTTATTTTTGAGAAAGAGAGAGAGAGTGCGCACGCTTCAGAGAGAGCAGGGGAGGGGCAGAGAGAGAGGGAGACACAGAATATGAAACAGGCTCCAGGCTCTGAGTGTTCAGCACAGAGCCCAACATGGGGCTCAAACCCACAAACTGTGAGATCATGACCTAAACCGAAGTCGGACGCTAAACTGATTAAGCTACACAGGCATCCCTAGGACATTTGGGTCTTAAACTGACTTGTCAAAATATATTTGCAAACTAACTTATTAAAGTAACAAATTCAAACAGTGCCTTTCAGTCAGCAACATGTCACCATTAAATTTAGGGAGCGTGTGTGTAGGATTATTCTCTCTATATAGTAATCTGAGACTCTACTTGCAAATCTGTAATTTCAAGGTCTTGCTGTGTGATGAAGTTACCTAATGTGGGAGATTCACCTTATTCTAAAACTGATTAATTTTCAAGTTCCCCTCTAGCCTTTGGCACCTGTGTTGTTCCTTCTTATTAAGTACATAGCCCACTAAGGACTTGTATTCATTCCTGGAAGCAGCCATTCTCAGAGTGAGGCCACACCTACCTGCCATACTCCACTTAGTTATCTGCAATTGATTTATCTCCTAAGTCTGATAGGTATCATGGGAACTTGACCCTTAAGGGCCACAGAATATCCAAGCTTAGAGGGAGAGGCAAGGCAACTTAATAGCTATCACTGTCTGGCAGTGAAGTTGAGTGGACAACAAATGTTGCAGGAAATAGAGGTATGTAAAACCAAGCAATTATATACAGTCCACCTCCTTAATAGAGCAACCCATTTCTAATGAACTGCCTCTGGATATATTTACCCTGGTTTCAGTTATGTAATACTTTATTCGTTCAACAAACTTCTATGTTGCAGTTGATATTTGCCATGTACTTTGCTAGCTTCTGGGCATCTATCACTTCATAAGACTAATTTTGCTGTCACTGAGTTCACCTCTAGCAGCGACTTGGAAACAAGCAACGATAGTGGATACCAAAGGCATGGTAATGTCAGCATGGACACATGGCCAGGGAGGCACAGGTGAATCGTGATTATCTGTACTTGGGAAGATTGGGTAGGGCTTCACAGAGCAAGTAGCTTTTGAGCTCAAAAGAGATCTTTGGAGTAAGAATTCACTAAAGACTGTTACCAAAACTCCCGGAGGGAAAATCCTCTAAATGAGTCATGACATGACTTTGGAGTGTGCAATAGAGCAAGAGGTGTTGCTTACCTCCCTTTTCAATTCTACTTAGAATGAGTCTGAAAGAGAAAAAAAAGTGGAAGTTTAGCACCTTATTTGGTACCTGGTAAAGTAGATGTTGAATATATTAGCCGAATAAAGGAATACATTTACGTGTACATACATTTTGAAAAGTGTAGGAAAGAATACTCTTCTACTGTGAGAAACGGAAGGATTCCTCTCTTAGTTTTAGCATTTATACTTAGTATTCTGACTCAGGCATCATTTTTCATGTCAATGGGGTGGAACCAAAATGAATTTATATATTAAATGTTCATTTAGGGACGTTAACCAAAACTTTTAAAGCACTGTGAAGGAGATTTTTTTTTTAATTTTATCTGCATACTAATGAAAAGTAAGCCTGTTTTTTTCCCTTTTCTCATGTAGTTTTATTAGTGCTATCAAATTTAATGACTCTTCTGCCCTTTTTTGCTGTCATACTATAATGACTTCAGATCCATATATGCTGATTTAGCTTCGAAAGCAAGTTGGGGGAAAAAAAGCAAATTACATTCTAACAGATTCTCCTTATGTTTATATCGTTTATTTTTTCTGCTTGTATTCTCCAATAAATGGTAAGTGTTTGTTGTTGGTGTTGTTTTGAAACCAGAAGCTACGGAAGCCTGCTGTACCAGCAGTCCTTCTATTTGGTCTAGTAGAGATGCCTTTCATCTCAACTGTAAGATGAAGGGCCAGCTTAGTGAGTGTGTGTCCCATGCAATTACAGTCACATAAGGCTTCACTCTTAACAGGGCCCTGCCCTTGGTTTAATGCTCTGGTGCTGCCGTCTTGAAATTCCTAATAATATTTGAACAAGGGTCTCTGTGAATTATATAGTGAGACCTGCTGGCATCAAGAAACGCATTAATGTTTATGTTTTCACATACATAAAACAACACTTTTACAGTAATGAAATCCTCTTAAAACTTCACGTATTCCCTTCCTCAAGTTAGTAAGCTCCCACTCTCACCCACACACCCCTCAGTGTAACTTACCCTGTCTCTGTGTGTTACTGTGTGTCTCTCTAGTGTCAGCTGTGATGCGACCAGAGGTCTATTTTCAGTCCTTCCTTACCTGTCAACTCCCTAATAGTTCTTCTGTTCATTCCCTTTGCTTGACTTCTAGAACACTACGCTGTGCAGATTCTCTTCATACCTCACTGGTATCTCCTTCTCGATCTCCTCTGCTGAGCCCTTCTTTTCTCAGCCTCCTAAAAGTGGGACACACCAGAGGCCAAGTCATGCCAATTCATCTATAGCCATTCTTTTCTGAACTCATCGGGCCTCCTGGTTTTATATGCCAGTCACCACAAAATTTATATCTGTTTACATGTCACGTCTACTTGGGCATCTAATAGACATCTCAAACTTAGTATGTCCAAACTGAATTCCTGAACCTGCTGCTCAAAATCATTCTCCTAGATCTTCCCTCATTTCAATGGAAAGAACTCTATTCCAGTTGGTTAGATAAAAAAAATAATAATCACCTTCAATCTTGTCTTTTTCTCATATTCCATCTGTTAGACAATCTTGTTGGTTCCATGTTCAAAATAAAACATCAGAATCCGATTACCTCTTACTTGCTATTAGAAGCTACAAATATTAGTATCTGTTATTCTCAGTACAGTGGCCAGAATATTCCTTATTCCAATGAATCAAAACTTCACAGTGGCTTCCCATTTGATTCAGAATAAGAGTCACAGTCCTCAGAATAGTCTATAAGACCCTATGTGATGTGACCTGCCTCCTACTCACACCTTGCTCACTTCATTCTTACTATTTTCTCTCTTAAACACTGGTTTCAGCCATACCAACCCTTAGCTGGGCCTTTTGTTGAAGCATCATACTGTCTTCTTTTTTTTTTTTTTAAGTTTATTTATTTTGAGAGAGAGAGTGCAAGCTGGGGAGGGACAGAGAAGGAATCTCAAGCAAGTTCTGTGCTGTAGCATCAAGCCTGGCACCCAACTCAAACTCAACAAACCTTGAGATCATGACCTGAGCCAAAATCGAGTTGGATGGTTAACCGACTGAACCACCCAGGCGTTCTAATAATGCCATTTTTTAAGAGTAGTAATTTGTGCTTGCTTCAGCAGCATGTATACTAATATTGGAATGATACAGAGAAGATTGATGGCCATGGCCTCTGTGCGTGGATGACATAAAAATTTGTGAAGCATTCGGTATTTTTTCAAAAAATTAAAAATAGAACTACTGTATGATCCAACAGTTCCATTTCTGGGCATTTATCTGAAGAAAATTAAAACATCAGTTTGAAGACATATATGCACCCTATGTTTATTTACAACATCCAGGATGTGGAAGTAACTGTAGTGTCCATCAACAGGTGAACAGATGAAGAAGATACAGCCACAATGGAATATATATATATATATATATTCCAAATGAATAAACAAAGCAGAAACAGACTCATAGATACTGTAAATAAGCTGTTGGTTACCAGAGTGGGGAGGGGTTGCTAGGTGGGTGAAATAGGTGAAGGAGATTAAGAGGTATGAACTCAGAGTTATAAAATTAGTAAGTCATGAGTATGTAATATACAGCATAAGGAACACAGTCAATAACATTATAATAGCTCTGTATGATGAAAAATGGTAACTAGACTTACTGTGGGGATAATCTTGTAATGTATGAAAATATCAAATCACTATGATGTACACCTGATACTAAAAGGATATTGTATATCAATTATACTTCAGTAAAAAAATAAAAATAAATAAAAATAATTATGTGTTCAATGATAAATGAAGTAGATTTCATTTAGTATTTCTTTCTTAGATTTTAAGTTATGAACATATCATTACAGAATTTATAAAATAAAGAACAATAAACTGACCTTAGTTTTACTACTATAAGGCAATCATCTTCATTTTGCATGAATATTTCCTTTTTGCATTTCACACAGTTCTAATAGGGCACATCGTTTTAATCCTGACTCTTTTACTTAACTATGTGTCATGTCTATTTCTTCATGTTTCTATATGGTCATTATCACAGTAATTTTTCAAGGTTATGTAATGGTCCCTGGTGTACCCATACCCTTGTGAGCCTAAATATTTTCCAGGTGTTAGATATTTAAATTGCTTTCAAATCTTTTTAATCATAAATAACTTTATAATGAAAACCTTTGTGTTTGTAGCTTTTTCTGGATCGTTTTCCTAGGATATATTCTCAAAGGTGAAATTCTTGTTTCACACAATATGAGCATAGTAATGACTCTTGATATATTGCCAACCTACTTTCCTGAGTGATTGAACCAATTTTCTGCCTCTAGCAATGTATGAAAGTGAAGTTTCACTGCACCCTTGCCTGTGATTTCTCATTTTTTCCCTTCTTTCCTGTGGACCTTGTATTGTTAGCATTAAAATGCTATTCCATGCCAGTATGGGTAACCATTTTTGCCATTAGAGAGCTTTACTTTGGTGTTTTAGTCTGGAACAAATGGGCTCCCAAAAAGTCATTGCATTTATATGTTTGCTTTCTAAAATTCTAAAGGGACATAATAAGCTTGCCACCCAGTTTTATACTTTCCAAACATTTTTGCTTAATCTTGGAGGATCACATAATCCATTGTTCTCAGAATGAAATAATTGTTCCCTTAAGAGAGTTAAATTCAGTTGTTCCTGCAAATGTAAGGTTGAGTACCCATCTCCGTCATCCAAAACTGTAGATAAAATAGCTAGAACTTTCCTTCAAAGTTACAGTGAATCGAAGCTGAGGGAAGAATTCCGTCTTCGCTAAGAGCTGAGAATGTTGGTAAGACTTTAGGTTAGCATCATTTTAAAAGTAACTAGTTATTCTATAATGCTAAATAGTTTTGAGATAGCTTCACATTCACTGTGTCACCTGTGAAATTAGTAAAATGAGAGATTTTGTTATTAACATGCAGAGAAGCTTCGAGACAAACCCAAGGGCTCATGGTAGGTAAGGGTGTTCCTACATGGTGTGCACTGGATAGTCACACAGGATTTTGGCTACTAATTTCTGCTTTTACTGTACCACAGAACAGTTTTTTAGACATCTCCTTATTCTTTCTTATATAAATTCATTGAGTTCCTGCTCTGCCCTGTGGGGCATAGACGTGTGCCTTCATCGAGGGCTCAGTCTGGTGCAGGAGTCCGGTCTGCAAAGCAGCCAGGACAGGCATGTGGGCCGAATGCTCCAGCAAAGCAGATAGCCAGGGCTGGAGAGGCTGAGAAGAGAGAAGGCTGGACCTGATGGGGATCCAGGTGATGTTCATACTAATAGCCAGGATGGTGGTGGTGCTGTGACGCTAAAGAATCTAGAAGGACAACCCTTGGCAATCTCTTTGACGTTGACCAATGAGGGCCAGTGAGAGCACTAAGAAAGCACACAATTAGTGTGTTGAGAACTAACTTTTTCTTTGAAGGCCTAAAGGAGGTGACTCCTTCCCTCCTCAGCTCTGCAGTCATTCCATGCTGCTTTCTTTGCAGACCAGCTTCGTATGAGCAGGCCAGCTTCATATGAACTACTCCCATTTCCTGGGAGTTCGCCTTCCTTGATTCTTTCAAGTCCATTTACTCCTTTCTTCATTCATTCATCCAACGTATATACCAAGTGCTGAGATCTAAACAATGAGAAGGAGCTTTTGAAGGTTTGAAGCACAAACTTTCTGGATTGCAAAGGGCAAGAGGAGGGAAGCCTTGGCATATTCTAGGAACAGAAATGAAGATTTCAAGCCTCGAAATTAGGGTACTTTTAGTAGTTGAGGTTGGAGAGCAAGGAAGGTTCAGATCTTGGTAGGAAGTTTAGAATTCCTTTGAAGCCATGGGAGGGTTTTAAGCAGGAGAACCCAGAAATCTGCTTTATCTGTAATTTTAGTATTATGGTCTAGAAAACTTTTAGGAAAAGTGCATCTCAGTGAACTTTGACACTTTCTATAGAAACAATTTGGATAATGGCTTGAGATTAAGGAAATGAGAGGGCACCTGGGTGGCTCAGTTGTTACGCAGCTGACTCTTGATTTTGGCTCAGATCACAATCTCATGGTTTGTGAGTTTGAGCTATACATGGGGCTCTGTGCTGACAGCTCAGAGCCTGCTTAGAATTCTCTCTCTCTCTCTCTCTCTCTCTCTTTCCTTCTCTCAAAAATAAATAAATAATTTTAAAAAATAAAAAAGAAAGGAGAGGTGACAGTTGTTCCTTAAAGAAGAGGGGTTGATACCAGGGGGTTGTGATTTAATTCACACCCACTGTTGTGTCTCTTCTCCCATGTCTCAGTACAGTGTGACAAATTCCCAGTGTAGGACAGAAGGGGATGTCGGGAATTACTTTCCTTCTTCCACATTTTCTCAGCCCTAATTTTCATATCAAGTGATTTGCAAGATTCTTCCCATGTCAGTGCTGTCAGGAGTATGTTTGCTTGGCATCAGCACAGCGACTCTGGTGGGCCAATGCCATGTTCATGATGAAAATGAACAGCAGCTGATTGATTTGAGAGACTTTCAGGCATAAGCCACCATAGTCACTTGTTTATGTGGACAGTCCCTGACATAACAATGGTGGACTTACAGTTTTTCAACTTTATAATGGTGCAAAATCCATAGGAATTCAGGAGAAACTGTATTTTGAATTTTAAATTTGGATCTTTTCCTGGGCTAGTGTTATGCAGGATGTCCTGTCCCATAATCCTCAGCAGTCGAAGCTGCAGCCCCCAGGCCACCATGCAGTCACAAGGGCCAATGACTGATCCTATTGACAATCATCCTGTTTCCATCCAACCATTTTGCTTTTCACTTTCAGTACAGTATTTAATAAATTACATGAGATAGCCAACTTTGTTCTAAAATGGCCTTGTATTAGATGATTTTGCCCAGTTGTAGGCTAATCCAGGTATTAGCACATTTAAGGTAGGCTAGGCTAACCAATGATGTTTGGTAGATTAGGTATATTCAATGCATTTTTTAATGTTTATTTACTTTTGAGAGAGAGAGACAGAGACAGAGCACGAGCAGAGGAGAGTAGAAAGAGGAAGACACAAAATCTGAAGCAGGTTCCAAGGCTCTGAGCTGTCAGCACAGAGGCCGATGCAGGGCTCAAACTCATGAACCATGAGATTATGACCTGAGCCAAAGTTGGTTGACTGAGCCACCCGGGTGCCCCTCAGTGCATTTTTCACTTAGGATATTTTGAACTTACAATGGGCTTATTCAGGTATAACCCCATCATAAGTGAAGGGAGATCTATACCTTCTTATCTCTTAATTTCCTTTCCTTCCAATTATAGCAAGTGGGGAGAAGTATTCCTAGACATTACAGGAGGATCATTGAGAATCTCTCTTTAGGCATTTAAAGTTGAATAAGAAGCAATTTACTCTGCTGCCAGAAACTCCTAGGAATACTGGTAAGTGGCCAAACAGCACGCTGAGTTTGAAAGGAGCCCAGAATGACAAGAAAGGTGGGCTCTGCTAAACTGGGTGCTGGGTTGGGAGAAATTCTGTTGAGGATGAAAACACTGTGGTTTTAGTAATTAAATTCTGATATTTGAATCAGGTCTTCATTAATCATACATTCCAGGGCTTCATTTAGTTTAAATAACATACAGAAGGTGCTTCACAGGGAAAACCATGAAAGACTAGATTACTTCACCTGTTCATTCTGTTTCCTTGAGTTGCTTTTCCCTTAATTACCTTGAATCTTATTCCAGTCCCTTTTTCAACACACAGTTCACATATTTTTGGAAAGGTTGCTTGTGCCTTCTTTACCTCCCGCCACCTTCTGTCTCTTTCCTCAGTGCCCTGTTTGTATGTCTCTCAATGATTTGTGGCACGTCACACATGGTGACCAGCATTCTCCTCTCCTCTGTCACCTGTAGGTTCCTTAAGACCTGGGATCATGGTGTATGAATTGCTGTCTACTCTTGTGTTTGGCGTATTTCCTTCAGATTATCTGAATTTAATATCTTTTAAATTGTCTATGTTGGTGGAAATCTTTGTTGGAAAACTCTGTCATACACTCTTAACACCTTAGGATGAGAGAGTCGTTGAACAGTTGGCTCTCCATTTATTACTCTTGACTTTGGAGGTACCTGAGACCATTGTTGGAAAACTCTGTCATACACTCTTAACACCTTAGGATGAGAGAGTCGTTGAACTGTTGGCTCTTCATTTATTACTCTTGACTTTGGAGGTACCTGAGACCATATGTCCTC